CATCCTTTCTCCACGAGACCGTCTGCTGAATTGGCCCCGCATGTATGTCCTCCCTGCGTCATGCTGTTGTCGCCGAGGTTGTGGGCTGTGGGTGTCGTGCGTTGTCCAGTGAATGTCGGGGCCCTTCTGTTCACTGGCCTCTGGCAAGTGAAGTCCTTGTGCGCGGCCACATACTCCCTTTTGTAGACTTCATCATGTCACTCCTGGTTGGGGTGAGGGGGACGGGACGGGGAGGGTGGAGATTGGGGAGGGAGAAGAGTCACTCCTGGTTGGGTAAGGGGGGCGGGACGGGGAGGGTGGAGATTGGGGAGGGAGAAGAGGTGTAGGTGGGGAGACTGGGGGGCTGGGTGCAGGAGTTTAGAAGGGGGGGTGGGACCGGAAGTGGAACGAGGACGAAGTTAGCTTGCTTGCAGGTAGATGCGCGATTTGGAACCCCTGTAGGGGGTTTCCTACTCTCTTCCTACTCCATGTGTGCTCGGTCTAGGTACTGTGCTTCTCCAGGGCTTCCAGATAATATTCTTCAGTTCGGCGTCAACCTCTCTGAACAGCTTGAGAAGGTCCTGGCATGTCTGTAAATAAGTATATCCCTAATGACCAGTCTGGCCTGCGAGTCCTTCTCGCTTCTGTATTCATGCTTCATGGTCTTCCAGGCCTCGTGTGTCTGGGCTCTAATCACCTCCTCCAATGCTTGTTGGGCCCATTGCAGGCTGAACTGGTGGTCCTGCTTTTCGAACGAGCACCGTGCACGCCGGGACTGTTATTAGCACATTGAGCCTTGTGCATGAGAACAGGTTGACTTCAAACGCAGGCCAATGTTTTAGGGCGGGGGTTAACTACATGGGAGTCACAAAAAGGAGTTATAATTGCATTACGGGGCAAGATACAGTTTGCAATTGCACTTTGGGCACCCAACCTGCCCAGAAAGCCGGGTTGCATATACATTGCCCGAACTGCAATTGCAAACTCTATCTTGGCCCATACTGCAATAATAACTCATTTTTTTGACTCCTGCGTAGTTTCCCGTTCAGGATTAACATCGTTCCTGCCCAGCAACAGCAGGCCTACTATATCCCGGGGGGTGGGGGATGTGGTAGGTGGCAAGGGAGTGGAAGAGGCTGCATCATCCCACCACCGCCCAATCTGGGCAACCATTGGGCATGCCAAGAGGCAATGTTCAAGCGTAGCTCAGACTGGGGGTGAGGCTCTGGCACAATAGGAACACTGCAGATCCTGGGCACAGGGGGGGGATAACAACAACCCCTTTCTATTCCCAGTGCTAGCCAGTTAGTTGTGGACACCAGCCAATCCGGCGTGGGGAGGCAGTGGTGCAGGATCTGCCACTGCAACGATCCAAAAGATTGTTTCCTAGATAAGTGGTGACAGAAAAAAGAAAAGAAAAGAGAAAAAAAAACGACAACACAAAAGATTCGTTTCTTCACATCTCTGGGATGAGATCGGCAGATTTGGGGGAAAAGACAAAAATCGTCAGATCTGGATAAGATTCCAACGACTCTTGGAAATATGCAAATACTGGTACCTGGACAGGTCTAGCGTCTGAATGGGCTTTGTGACTGGATCCCAGGGGGCAAAGTCCCACTAGCAAAGAGGATTGGATTTGATGCCGAATCTGGACGTGTTCGGGGGGAGGTGCGGAGAATCACTATTGATCTGCTTCTCCGCATCTCAGCATATAGAGGCACCTACCTATTCAGAAGCTTCATCCAATCCTCTTCCCCAGCGTGACCTCGCTCCAGGCATCAATGATGGCCAACAATCACAGCCCAAGGCCAAATAGCTTTTTTTGTTTTAAGCCGCGTATCACTGAGCACGAACAACAGTGAAACAGTCAGACAATTCATTAATTGTTACGATTTTTTTCAAATCACCCAAGAATAACTGCTGCCTCATAACATGGTAGCGTCCTTCGGGACATCCGTTAAAATTGGAACGATACAGAGAAGATTAGCATGAAAAAAAAAAAAAAAAAAAAAAA